AAAACACACACACACACACACACACACACACACACACACACACACACACACACACACACACACACACACACACACACACACACACAAGAGTGAACGTTTGTGCGTGATGTAGGCATCATGTCACTCCAAGGCACGCGGTTGTCTTACGTCGACGACGAGGATTTGGTCGACACCGACGATGGTGCTGAGGCGGTGTGCAATCGAAATGCTTGTCCTGCCCTCGCACACCCTGGCAACACCATAACAGCAGTCGCAGAAGGGGGGGGGGGTGTGGTGTGGTGGCAATTGATGGTGCCATGATAAGCGTCTGTGTGTGAGCAAACAGGGCGTGTCTCGCAACAGCTGGACTCGCTTGCCACTCTTGACTCTCAAACATGAACACACATACACAGGCTTTCATGTGTGTGTGTGTGGGTGTGTGTGTGTGTGTGTGTGTGTGTGTGTGTGTGTGTGTGTGTGTGTGTGTGTGTGTGTGTGTGTGTGTGTGTGTGTGTGTGTGTGTGTGTGTGTGTGTGTGTGTGTGTGTGTGTGTGTGTGTGTGTGTGTGTGTGTGTGGGTGGGTGGGTGAAGGTGAAGGAGGATGTGCCAAAACAGGCAGTGATGATACATTGCAACAAAAACACACACACACATACGACTCAGCACGCAAATGCAACTCAACGCGATACAAAACAACAGTCCACAGCCCACGCGTACCATCTGCCTGAGCTGGTTGTCGCGGGTGTTCATGCCGCGCCTGAACTTGGTGCGCCACTCCGTCACGACGATGGTGAAGTAGATGTACAGCATCATGGTGACAAACACGGTGAGCCCAAAGTAGGGCCCAAAGCTGGAGGTGAAGTAGACACAGGCGATGGCAATGTCGACAAGGGTGGGCAGGATGTTGAAGAGGACGTAGGAGAGAAGACTGCTGATGGAGCTCGTGCCGCGATCAACCATCTGAAGCACTTTCGACGTGGTAGCAGTGGTGGTGGTGAATAGGTGTCAGGAGAAAGCGTCTCTCAAGGTGTAAGTAAGGCAGCCACCAAATCAGAGCAAACCGGGGGAATGTTCGACACACACCCCATCACACACACCCCCCCATCACACATTGCATCACACACACACACACAAACATACATCACGTAACACACAACACACCCCATCACACACACACACACACACACACACACCCATCTCACACACATGCATCACACACAAACATACATCACGTAACACACAACACACACAACAACCATACTACCTTCGCCGGTCTTCCTGCTGAGGTGCCAGCGGAGGGAGAGGGAGTGGAGGTGCTCAAACGTGTCGACACGGCTGATGCGTGACGTGTACTGCTGTACCGTGATCCACAGAAACGACCTGTTCGAACGCACAAACGAAGGATGAGACATAAGCGGCGCAACGTGCCCGAGGCAGTCGCAACATCACACGCACACGCACACGCACACGCACACGCACACGCACACGCACACGCACACGCACACGCACACGCACACGCACACGCACACGCACACGCACACGCACACGCACACGCACACGCACACGCACAGACACACGCCCTACCTGAGGTTGTTGAGGACGCCCATACCGCCCGAGCCGCCGCCACTGAGGAAGCGCAGGCCAACGTAGATCAGGATCTCTCCAACGGGAAATGACACGCCACTCGCAGCAAACAGGCCGCCATCCAGCCACGACGACGGTGATGGTGATGGTGATGATGCGTGGATGTTGGACTTGGCTGAAGTTGGCGTGAGCTTGTCCACAATGAGCTTGTAGGAGATGGGGACGTAGAGGTTAACGACGCGACCGAGGGCCAGCAGGACGAGGCACACCAGCACACGCAGCTGCAGCAGCGGCTTCCCCTTTGGCCACAGGAACGGCCAGATGACGCGCATGCGCAGTCCAAAGTCCGAGAACGTGGTGCCCTCCCGCTCGTCAACGGTGCCTTGCAGGTGCGCCGACGTCGTCGTGGAGGCAGCAGACGCACCGCTACCACCATGTGCGGTGGGTTTGCCGCTCGCGTCCTGGCCCTTGTGTCCCGCCGCCGCCGCTGTTCCTGCTCCTGCTCCTCTTGTGGTGACGGTGGGCATGTCGTCGGCGTCGACGTTGATGGCGGTGTAGCCCTCGCGGGCAGCGCGGCCCTGCATGCATGTGCAGTGGTGCTTGAGCCACAGGTACCAGGCCAGCACGGCATATGCGAGGACGGCCGCGGCGCGCACGCAGTACGCGGCCAGCAGCGCGGCGTTGTTTCTGGTCGGAGACTTGAAGAAGTATGCGTCGGAGCGGATGGAGGCCGCCTCCATGGCGCAGAAGATGAGGGCGCCTGTGGCGAAGATGGCGTTGACGAGGTGCAGCGGCTGCTTGCCCTTGTAGGCGCGGCGGATGGGCTGGAAGGCCAGGAACCACGCAAACGCCGTCAGCGTGTCGGTGACCACCACGTACTGCACGGCGGCGTGGTGGCCGACGGTGACGATGGCCAAGTGCGCCATGGCTGCGCCAACGGCGAGCAGGGAGCAGGCAAGCAGCACGTACATGTGCGGGGAGCGCACGGACTTGGCCGGTGCAAACTCACGGCGCAGTGGCCACGCCGCCACCACGCCACAGAAGAAGAAGGCAAACAGAAACAGCGTCATGGACTCTGTTGTGGCCAGGAAGCACGGCCGGAACCCGCCATCTTGCCAGGCAGGCAGCACCGTCTCGTTGTGCCCGCAGTAGCTGAAGTCAACCGGCATCGCTGCGAAGCGAAATCAAGGAAACAACGTGGTGCAGCAGTTGGTCGTGTGGTGTGGTGGTGACGTGACGTGAATGCAACAGCAGCTCTTGCATTGCTGTTGTGGTGGTGTGCACGTTGCTTTTGTCGCACACACAAAATCGTTGTTGTTTGTGTTTTGGGCGTCAGATGACACAGTTGCGTCTGTGTGCCATCATCACAGCATCGTGCACGTTACTTGAAGCACGACGGGACGGGGCGTGGCTGTACACCGCGTCGTCAGATCGCACCATCACGCCATCGTCCGTGCATGGGCGCACACTGCTGCCGCGCATCAAATGCGGTGGCACCAATCACAGGCAACGAGCACGAAGCACAGCAGCAGCAGCACTTCAACAAGGTGAAGCAGGGGCAGGTTCAGAGGACTGGATCGCCAGTTGCGGTGGCTGCGACGGCGGCATGGGGTGCAGCAGCTCAGAGCAACCAAGCTACGGACCAAGGCGCAACTCGAGACACGGCAGCAGCAGCACCAGTGTCAAGTGCAACAGTCGCGCACGCAGAAGCGGAAGCGGCAGCCGCCAAGCCCTATGCGAGTGTGTCAGACAGGGAGGATGTGCGTACTCCAGGCGGTGCGGATGACAGCGCTGCACCTGCAGAACACATGGCAGAGCCTTCATCCAGCGATGTGCTCCCGGGGCAAGTTGTGACTGAGACAGACGACAGGCCTACTGCATCTGCGGTTGAGGATGACGGCACGCGAGACCTGGAGAATCCATCGCGATCATCGTTGGCAGCGGCTGCAACTGCGGCCGTCGCTGTGCACCGAACTGTGCTTGACATGGATGAAACAAGCTGGAGTACGGATCGTCCTGACCTTCTCATTGAACCGGTTTCGCCCGTGGCTGATCGTACTGGTCGCGAGGGTGTTGAGGCAGCTGCGGGGACACAGTTGACGGTGGTGCAGGGTCCAACCAGCACCGTGCGCACCACACCACGCATTCGCAAGCTCCAAGAACGTCTACATTTCGTCCGCTCTCCATTTGAAGGTATGGTGTGTGTGTGTGTGTGTGTGTGTGTGTGTGTGTGTGTGTGTGTGCGTGTGCATGTCTGTATGTATGCGTGTCTATATGCATGTGTATGTGTGTGTGTGTGTGTGTGTGTCGTTGTGTATCTTGCGAGAAGCTGGACGGGCTCTCATGTGTGTTTCGTGCTCTGCGCTATGTCCAACTCGATGCTCACGAGGAATCCCATCTCCCACTTGTCCCTCCACCGCCTCGTGCCACGTGTGCGCTTGTTTCTCAGGCAACAGACACCCGGTTTCGCCAAAGATCCGGCAAGTACAGCTTGAGATTGGCTTCATCAAGCCAGCGCCGCTCCGCGACCCCTTCCAGAGCATGTGGCCCTCTGCGCGCAGCACGGCGACAGAAAGCAGCAGTAATCTTATTCTTGACAGCGACCCCATTCAGACCCAACAGGTACAGCTCACATCACAAAGCGCATGTGTCTGTGTCTGTGTGTATGTGTGTGCGTGGTGGAGGGAGGGGGGTTGGAAGGAAGGGTGGATGATGAGACATGACGACGCTGCACTGGCTGGTCAACACCGTGTCGCTCACATTGCCACACACACACATATCACACACACACACACACACACACACACACACACACACACACACACACACACACACACACACACACACACACACACACACACACACACACACACACACACACAAACAGCCGTCGTATCCAACGGACACGGACAGCACAATTTAATCGACTTCGACCCAGAATCTACGATTCGCACATGCACATGGCTGATGTACGCATTTGTTTTATCAGACGTAAATATCCACCGCATTCACTGACACTCGCAAAGCCAACAAACAACGAACGTAGATGATGATGCTGGGTCGTGTCGCAGGCCGCGCTGCTGTGCGCAGTGTTCGCCATGCTCGCCTCATGTCCTCGACGACGCAAGCGAGCGGGTCCAGCGTGGGCATGAAGGCTGCCACAGCGGTCGCCATTGGCTCTGCCGTCGCCCTGGTACGTAAGGGGGAGACAGAGGCGGGGAGGGGGGCGTGACAAAATGTGGTATGGTGAGAAGGAACAAGTGCAAGGAAGTGTGTGTGTGTGTGTCCACTCACTTACGTGTTCACACGCATGCATACACACACATATTCATACACACACATGCATACACACGCACTCACTCGCTCACATACACACACGCACTCACTCGCTCACATACACACGCACACACACACACCTTCGAGCAGTTCGCCAGCGAGGGCCTGGGCAGCACCAAGGTGGCGTCCATTAAGAAGCAGGAGGAAAGCGCGTCTCCCGCTGCTGCCGCAGTTACCGCCGCCGCCGCCGCCGCCACGACCCCTGCCAACAACAGCAACAGCGACACCGCTGCTCTTGCTGCCGACACTGGCGTGGCAGATGTTGAGCCCACATACGACCAGCTCAACATTAAGGAGGTGGACGGTCACATCGTTCTCGAATGGAACCAGAACGGCGTTCCCTTCCGCCACGTCTTTGACCAGGTCTGTAAACACACACACACACACACACACACACACACACACACACATACACACACAATACCCGGCTTCGTTATCCCGTGCCTTTCATTGGAGTGACCTTCCATCATGCGAGTTGTGTTTACATGTTGTTGATGGTTCTGTGTAGGAGGGCACCACCGTGGCTGGCCCTGGCCCTGTCAGTGGCACATCTGCCAAGGCGGAAGCCGTGCATGTGGTTGAGACCCCTGCTGCTTCTGGCGCTACCAACGCTGGCGACAACAAGACCGAGCCCGACACGACGACCACCACTACCAAGGCAGCGCCTGCCGCCACCAGCGAGGAGCTCGTTGCGTCCATCTCCCGGTCCCTTGACAACATTGAACGTGCCATCAACACCAGTACGTCTCACGCAGCGGCTTTCCCTCCCTGTCATGCTTTTCTGTACTTTTGCTTTCCTTGCGCTTGTTGTGTTGCTGGGGCAACGGGCTGCTTCCTCAGACGTTTCGTCGCGCCGTCTCATATCGCTTCTGGCACTTTCACATGGCGTGTGGGATACTATTTGCTTTCCTTTGCAGACCTGTCCCAGGCCTCCACTATGGATGGTTTCCCGCGCTTTTCCGACTCGTGCAAGTCTCTCCTGAAGAAGCACCTCAGCCCCGACGTCTACCTCGCCTGCGCCGGCCGGTACGCCTGCGTCTGTCTGTGTGTGTGTGTGTGTGTGTCTGTGTCTGTGTGTGTGTGTGTCTGTGTGTGTGTGTGTGTGTGTATGCCTGTCTGTCTGTCCGTCCGTCTTGTCTGTCTGTGGTGTCTAGAAAGTGTTTTCTGCCGTGTGTGGCAACAGCAAACCGTTTGTCTGACCGCAGTTGAAGTCGCTCGCTCATTTTCTCCTAATGACACACTCATATCCTTTCCTCTCCTCTCCTTTACCTCTTCTTTACATATGTGTGCACAGCGTGACGCCCAACGGCTTCACGTTCGACGCCGCCATCCAGTCTGGAGTGGACAACCAGGACTCTGGCGTTGGCCTGTACGCGGGCGACGAGGAGAGCTACACCGTCTTTGCCCCTCTCTTTGACAAGGTCATCGAGGACTACCACAACGGTTACAAGTCAGTTGCGCGCCAATGCCGCAAACCTGTAGCGTGCACAGCCGAGGGCATAGAGGGGAGATGCATTGTGTGTGTGTGTGTGTGTGTGTGTGTGTGTGTGTGGTGTGGCGTGTGTGTGTGTGTGTGTGGTCTCCTTCGTCGTCGTCTTTTTCTTCTTCGGGCACACGAGTCACTGTCACAACGTCTCCCAACGACATCGCACCACTCTTCTGCATCATCGCTACAACCGCCCGTTCTTACCGTGTGTTTTCACCACAGGCCGTGGGATACGCACGTCTCTGACATGGACTCGTCGAAGCTTCAGGGCAACCCCGACCCCGAGGGCGATTTCGTGCTCTCCACCCGCATCCGCGTTGGACGCAACATCCGGTACTGTGCTGCATGATGCAAGCACAGAAACACACACATCAGCAGCAGCGAGGCGTACAACCGTTCACACACGCACATGATGTCTCTGTCCCATGCACACCCTCACATATACACACACGCACTCACATGCACTCACTCACTCACATACACACGCACTCACTCAGGGGTCTTGGGCTGTCGCCCGGTGTGTCGCGTGCACAGCGGCGAGAGGTCGAGCGCATTGTTGTCGACGCGCTCGCCAAGATGGATGCCGACCTCAAGGGCAAATACTTCTCCCTCTCAAACATGTCCGAGGAGGTGCGGTGATGGCGGCGGCGGTGGCAATGCTGTCGCTGGTCATGCTCATGATGGCGGTGATGGTCATGATGATGCTCGTGTCCTCGTTGCCTTGTTCATGTACGTGCGATGTGTGGCTTTGATGCGTGGCTTTGTTGGTCATTTGCTCTGCCTCGCGCTCGTTTGCCTCACATGCTTTCCCTTCCACACAATACACACAACACACCCCCTCCACACACACACACACACACACACACACACACACACACACACACATACACACACACACACACACACACACACACACACACACACACACCACACCCCACACCTATGCACCTGCGTGTCTGTTTCGCGGTATCAGGACCGCAAGCAGCTCGTTGCCGACCACTTCCTCTTCAAGAAGGGCGACCGCTTCCTGCAGTCTGCCGGCGCCAACCGTGCGTTGCATCGAGTCGTGGCTGGTGGTCGTGGTGGCTGTCCTCGTGGCCATGGTGCATGATGCTGTTGAAGATGTGTGCATCTTCATGCTCTTCATCCTTTCGCCTCACGTGATGTCATGTCACACGCAACACACAAACATACACACACATTCAAACATACCCACACGCGCACGCGCACACACGCGCACACACGCGCACTCGCAGGCGACTGGCCCGAGTCGCGTGGCATCTTCCACAACGACGAGAAGACGTTCCTTGTGTGGGTGAACGAGGAGGACCAGATGCGCATCATCTCCATGCAGAAGGGCTCTGATGCAAAGCAGGTCGGGTGTTGAGAACCGTGGTTTGGCTGTGTGTGCCTGTGTCTGTATGGCTGTGGCTGTGGCTGTCCGTCTGACTGTCTAGGCTCTGTCTGCAGTCTGTCTGTGGCTGCCTGACTGCTTTCAATCTGCTTTCTGCCTACCGTGCCCGTTCGTCCATCTCTGCATCCTCTGCAACGTGCATCACCTATCACACGCCCTCACGCCACCTCCATCCCTCCTCCTCTTCTGTCGTTGTGTGTGCGTATGTGCCAGATCTTCGACCGGCTCTCGCGCGGTATTGACGCGATTGAGCAGCAGGTGAAGGCTGCCGGATACGAGTTTGCACACAACGACCACCTCGGATACATCCACAGGTGCGCGCGCACTCTACACTTGCTCTTGCTGCTCCTCACTGCACATCGCTGGCGGTTACACGCTGCGATGAACGCGTTCTCCCTGACAACCGCTCGTGGTGACTGCACGACTGTCACTTGCATCACATCGTCGCTATCACAACTCACCATCCTTATCCTTCATCATCATCACCACTGTTCACCATCACCACCCCATCAGCTGCCCCACCAACTGCGGCACGGGCATGCGCGCGTCTGTCCACGTGAAGCTGCCCAACGTCGGCAAGCACCCCAACTTTAAGCAGTGGTGCGAGAAGCTCCGTCTCCAGGTACGCAGGCATGGCGACGTGCGTGTGTGTGTGTGTGTGTGTGTGTGTGTGTGTGTGTGTGTGTGTGTGTGTGTGTGTGTGTGTGTGTGTGTGTGTGTGTGTGTGTGTGTGTGTGTGAGCGTGTCCTGCTTGTCTTTCAGTCTGCGTTGCTTGCCATCCCAGCCACTCTTTACTCATCTTATCATTCCCCCCCCCCCTCTCTCACATCACCTTTCACTACTGCCACCATCCCGTGCAGCCGCGCGGCATTCATGGCGAGCACAGCGAGAGCGAGGGCGGTGTGTACGACATCTCCAACAAGGAGCGCCTCGGCAAGTCTGAGGTGCAGCTTGTGCAGACGATGATTGATGGCGTGAAGACGCTCATTGCTGCTGAGAAGGCCCTCGCCGAGGACAAGCCCCTGCCATCCGACCTGCAGTAACAGCCTCACACTCAGCACATGCACTCAACACGCACTAAACACCCACTCACAACCCCACACGGCTGATGTATCACCCACGCACTAAACACCCACTCACCCAACATACGCACGGCTGATGTATCACCCACGTGCGTGCTGTGGTGTCTTTCGTTGCCCTTCCTTTTCCTTCATGCTCTCTCCACCCCCCTTTCGCAGTCAAGTTTCGTTTCGCTTGCGCTTTGTGCCGCGCTGCACCATGGCTGCGTTGCTGACGTGTGTGTGTGTGTGTGTGTGTGTGTGTGTGTGTGTGTGTGTGTGTGTGTGTGTGTGTGTGTGTGTGTGTGTGTGTGTGTGTGTGTGCGTGATGGCCAAACAAGTAAACATCTGCCGTGATGTGGCGCACGTGTTGCAATGCCGTTTATTGAAAGCACCACGGTGGTTGTTTTGTACACACACGTCTATGTACAATCAATCCAACTTGAGACAACACAGAAGAAGTACCACAGTACATATCATCACACTAGCAGCAGCATCCCACACATCATCCCATCACACGTCACATCACACGCCACATCACCTCAGGCGATGGCAACTGCCGGAGATGACGACCGCTGCTGCGTTGGGCTGACGGGCGGCGTGAAGTCCCCACCACCGTTGGCGGCAGCATTATGGCTTTCATCGTCGCCAAGCACAACAACAACATCATCATCATGAGGTGTGTTGGCTGCCGCAAAGGACACATGACCCTTCGCTGGTGTTGCCGTCGGCGTTGCCGTCGGCGTTGTTGGTACCGTGTCCGTCCCACCATCATCGGCATCGCCACCATCACCTCCACCATCATCACTTCCACAGGCACTGATGATGACGGCTCGGGCAGCCGCGCTGACAGCCGCGGTGGACGTGTACACATGCGTGACCGGAACATCCACAAACGACACCCGCTTTCCTCCTTTTCGACCACCACCTTCACTGCCATCATCATGAACATCACCACCAGCACCGGGCCGGCGTGTCTCCAGCCGCTGTCGCCTGCGTTCGCTGCGCCGCTGTCTCTCTTCCTCCCTCATCCTCCGCTCCCACGCGTCAAGCTGCCTCCTTCGCGCCTTGCGTCGACGCTGCTTCTCCGCCTTGGATGTTCGCGGTGGCAGGTCGTCCACATCCACCCAGTCAGGAACACCCGCACGCCGCAGCCACAGGCGATCCGCAATGCGTTTCGCTGCTGCCCGCGACCGCGCTGAAGATGGCGACAGCGGTGATGATGATGATGATGATAATGGTGATGATGATGATGATGATGATGATGTTGATGATGATGATGATGATGATGTTGATGTTGATGTTGGTGATCGTGAGGAGGGTGATGGCGGTGACGTGGGGCCTGCGCCGTGTTGGGAAGAGACAGCGCGTGCTGTGAGCGTTGTCGATGCTGAACCTGAAGGCGATGGGTAGCTGGTGCTGATGGAGATTTGCTTGCGGATGCGTACAAGCTTTGGTTTTGGCGCTTTTCGTGGCTGCTGCTGCAGCCCTTGGTCTTGTTGTTGTTGTTGTTGTTGTTGTTGTTGTTGTTGTTGTTGTTGTTGTTGTTGTTGTTGTTGTTGTTGTTGTAGCCTTTGTTGCTGCGGCCCTTGTTGTTGTTGTGGCTCATCACGCTCATCACGCTCATCACGCTCTTCCTGCCACGGTGTCGTGTGCGCTGCCTTTGGTACGTGCACATGTGTGCTGGAGTCCACCTCATCACCAACACCACCACGCCCGCTCGTGCCAACAGGTACATCCAGTGCCTCTGGTTGTCGTACACTTCGAGCAGACGGTGCACGCCTCTCCTGCACAACACTGTTGTTGCCGCTGTTGGCACTCACACTGTTGTGCTTGCGACTGCTGTTGCTCATTGTGGCTGCTGCATGTGGGGTGTGCCTTCGTCGACTCAAGCTCAGCCGTTTCTGGCCACCCACCTTTGCTTTCTTCACAGGAAGGACGCCTGGTGACCCTTGTTGTTGCTGATGCTGCTTGTTCTGTGGTGTTGGCTGTCGTTGTTGTGCTTCCGTCTGCGACTGCGGTGATGCGGTGTGGCTGTGCTTCGCAGGCGTACCGCCATTGCTGCTGCTGCGGCCGCTGTTGTCACGGCGCTTGGCGCTGCCTGATCGCGAGCTTTGACTGCTGCTTCTGCGACGCCTGTGCTGCGGCTGCTGTTGGTGCGGTTGTTGATGCTGATTGCGTCCGCTGCGGCGGGTGCGTGGGAAGGCGGGCAGGTCGCTGCAGGCCAGCAGGAGCTCCTTGTACATGTTCTCAAACGCGCGTTGCGTCTGCGTGGTCATGGCGTAGATCCGGGTGGTGGGATCCGGGTTGTAAGTGCGCGAGTTGTGAAACACGCGCATGCCGTCATCAAACAGCTCTTGCGGACACGTGTACATGCGCTGCTGCAAGCGCACCAAGCACTCCTGCAGGCACATGGGGTGCTTAACTACATCCAGGTAATCCGGGTACAGCTGTGTGTTGATGGGCTGCACGAATGGCTCGCTGTGCGGCGCCTTGATCACTTGCATCAGCAGCTGTCGCGCCACTTCCTCCCATGTCGCGCTCATACGCGCCGCGTCCAGGATTGGGTGCTGGTTTGCAGTCTCCGGCGACACAGTATGTGCTGTCGACGCTGGCAAAAGCGTGGACGGCTGTGTTGCCGGCACTGGTGCAGCGGGTCCAGCACATGTTGGTGCTTTGGTGGCTGTGGTTGTTGTAGCTGTTGCGGGTGTTGTTGCTGTAGCCGTGGTTGTTGCAGCTGTTGTTGTTGTTGTAGCTGTTGTTGTTGTAGCTGCTGCTGCTGTTGTTGTTGCTGGTGTTGTTGTGGTTGTTGTTGTTGATGGTGTCAGCAGCAGCCCCAGCGGCTGTGCCGTTGCAGCCGTGGCTGCAGCTGTTGTCGAGGACATGGCGCACCGACTCTGGTCGTCCTCTCTTTTGGTGGTGGTCGTGGTGGTCGTCTGCTCGTTGCCGTATCCCTCACGCAGGAAGAGAGCACAGCAATCAACTGTCTGTGTGTTCAGGTGGCGGTTGCGAGCCGTTAACTGCTTTTGTGACACTTGTGCAGGGACGTGTTGAAGCGGGTTTGTGGACGACTGAAATCAGTTTTGTTGAGTAATTGACTGAATTCAGTGCTTGTTTGCTTGCGGGTGACGATGATGACGGCACCCGTGGAGGAAGAGAACAAGCGATTGCGACGTGCACTGGCGCAGGCAGAGCGAGAAGCCCAGGAAGCAGACGAAGATGCGCAGCGGTATGTACAGTGTGTACAGTGTGTGTGTGCGTCTCTGTGTCTGTGTGTGTGTGTGCCTCTGTGTGTGTCTGTGTGTGTGTCTGTGTATGTGTGTGTGTCTGTGTGTGTGTATTTGCATTTGCATTTGTCGATCTCTACCTGTGTGGGTTTGCATTTGTCGATCTCTACCTGTGTGGGTTTGCATTTGTTGACCACTGTCTGGGCGTCTGTGTGCAAATTTGTGTGCTGATCGCACAAGCGTGATGATGGTGATGGTGATGATTGACGTGACGTGAATGCGCATGCGCAACACTATGTTCAGGTTTGAACGGGCCATGCGTCAGGCCAAGCAGCAGCTGAAGGAGTTCCAGGCACAGCAACGGCACACCGAGGATGCTTTGAGGAAAGAGCTGGAGGAGACGAAAGCAACGGCGG